TCAACGAATCCATCACATCAGACAGCTCTCCACATCATCTCCTATTCATGTCTTTGATATGGCTAACTAGGGTGTCAGTGTGGGATCTGAACACCATCTGCTCGTTTCATCTCTTGATTGGAGATCAAAGTGTCTGCTGTCTGACGTGATGGATTTGTTCAAGTGAACCTGCAGTTGTCCATTCATCTCCCATTCATCTCCTTAATAGGGCTAACAAGGGTGTCAGTGTGGGATCTGAACACCATCTGCTCCTTTGATCTCTTGATTGAAGATCAAAGTGTCTGGTAAGAGGCTGATTTTTTCTTTTGTGTCCAGCATTTGTGGACACCTATGCACTTTCCTTTAAAGGATTTATTTAGCACACAGAACTGTGTTGTTGGATTTTGGGACTTTTAATTATTTAATATATGAATGTGAACTTCTATCATTTCAATTTATTTATGCACATTTTTTATGTATCAGTATTTATTTGATTTATTATTGTTTATGATTTTTTAGTGTACAGCGCACTCATTTTTTATGTGTTTTGTATTTTCTGCTGTTCAGGGAAAGAGTAGCAGCAGTTCACTAATGGTTCACTGTTTCAGAATATATATTTTTTTTCACACATTTATTCACATATTGTATTGTCTTGGGTGTAGCGCAGGTTTTTCCCCCTTTTTTCTATTCTTCACACATGCCATGAGTATATGTGAAGTTACATCATAAAACACATTCTGCTACTGCTCCCAAGTATGGGGATATCACATTTTTGAGAGAATGTGGGAGTCTAGCTGCTTACGGGGCTCAAAATCAATGCCCACCTTTAGGCTTTCAGAGGGCATAATTTCCTCATTGTACTACCTCACTACCTAGGAAAACCCCCCAATGACCCCTTTTCAGAAAGTAGATACCCTGCGCTATTTGCTGAGAGGCATGTTGAGTCCATGGAAGATTTGTTTTGCCACAAGTTTTTGGACAGTTGTCACTTAAATGACATATTGCTCACACATGCAATGGGTATATGTGGAAATAAACTCCGTATACAGTGCTCAGAAAATTAAAGGAACACTTTTTTTAATCATAGTATAGTATCAAGTCAATTAAACTCCTGGGATATTGATCTGGTCAGTTAAGTAGCAAAGGGGGTTGTTAATTAGTTTCAGCTGCTTTGATGTTAATGAAATTAACAATAGGTGCACTAGATGGGCAACAATGAGATGGCCCCCAAAACAGGATGGTTTTACAGGTGGAGACCACTGACATTTGTTTCCCTACTCACCTTTTCTGAATGTTTTCACTAGTTTTGCATTTGGTTAGAGTCATTGTCACTACTGGTAGCATGAGGCAATACCTGGACCCTACAGAGGAAGCACAGGCAGTCCAAATCCTCCAGGATGGCACATCAATAAGTGCCATTGCCAGAAGGTTTACTGTATCTCCCAGCACATTCTCAAGAGCATGGAGGAGATTACAGGAGACAGACAGTTACTCTGGGAGAGCTGGAGAGGGTAGAAGGTAATTAACCCATCAGCAGACACCAACACCAAACAATCAGAAACAGACTTTATGAGGGTGGGGCTGAGGGCCCAGCATCCTCTAGTGGGCCCTGTGCTCACTGCAGAGCACCATACATCTCAATTGGCATTTGCCAGTAAACACCAGAATTGGCAGGGTCACCACTGGTATCCTGTGCTTTTTACAGGTTCACCCTGAGCACATGTGACAGATCTGAAAAGGTCTACAGAAGCCGTGCAGAACGTTATGCTGCTTGTAACATCGTTCACATGACTGTTTTGGTGGTGGATCAGTGATGGTCTGGGGAGGCATATCCATGGAGGGACACACAGACCTCTACAGGCTAGACAATGGCACCCGACTGCCATTAGGTATCGAAATGAGATCCTTGGAACCATTGTCAAAACCAGCACTGGTGCAGTGGGTCCTGGGTTCCTCCTGGTGCATGACATTGCCCAGCCTCATGTGGGGAGAGTATGCAGGCAGTTCCTGGAGGATGAAGGAATTGATACCAACGAATGGCCCCCATGCTCGTCTGACCTAAATCCAATAGAACACCTCTGGGATATCCTGTTTCGGTCCATCCGACACCATCAGGTTGCATCTCAGACTGTCCAGGAGTTTAGTGATGCCTTGATCCAGATCTGGGAGGATATACTCCAGGACACCATCTGTCGTCTCATTAGGAGCATGCCTGAACATTACCAGGCATGCATACAAGCATGTGAGGGCCATAAACAACATTTTCAGTACCATTTTGAGTTGCTGCAATGAAATTTCAGCAAAATGGGCTAGACTGCTCTACCATTTTTTCACTTTGATTTTCGGGGTGTCTTTGAATTCAGTCCTCTGTAGGTTGATAACATTCAGTTCCATCAAACGATGGGGCATTCTTACATTCCGAACACATTACCCAGTCCATATCAGTATAGACATCCAGCATGATATTTTTCCCCATTTAGATCTGATGTGTTTTCAAAATCCAATGACTCATTTGAAAGCCTGAAGGTACATAATTTCCTAATTTCACTTCCTCACTACCTGTTAAAGTTTGAAAGGCCCTGAAGTGCCAGGATAGCACCCCCCCCCCCCCCCCCAAATGACACCTTTCTGGAGAGTAGACAGCACAAGGAATTTGATAAGAAGCATGGTGAGTATTTTGCAGATCTCATTATTAGTCATTTTTGGTCATTTGGGGAGAGGGGGGTGTGCTATCCAAGCATTTTTTTGCCCACCATTAGAAGCTTGTGCCACACATCATCCACTCTTCTAACCTTTGGAAGACCAAGCCTTTTTTGACACATTTTGTTTACATGAAAAAATCTGTATTTTTTCTAAAAAAGTACTTTGAACCCCCACACATTATACATTTTTAAAGCAGAATCCCTAGAAAAATTAATGGTAGATGTTGCAATTTTTTTATGTCACACAGTATTTGCGCAGCTGTTTTCAAAAGCAAATTTTTTTAGAAAAAAAAATACACTTTTTTCATTTTTTTTTATTATTGTAAATTTTTATTAAAGGCCAAAGCCCATTTTTTCCAGAACAGAGTTACAACACTTTAGGTGTAAACGTTGCAATAAAACAGAAGCAGAAGAAATGTAAACATAATTAGATAGCATGGTGAACTGTACAGTATAGAAGCATAAAACAACATAAGCCTGCACATTTGTCAGAGGTTCGATACAGAAAAAGATGTCTGAGCCATATAGGGGGGTGGGTGTTGGGGGATGGGAAGAGGGGGAGAGGAAGGAAGTCTACCAAAGGGAGAATGATCCCATAATTCCCAAATAGATCGAAAGTGACCTGAGTAATCACTCACTAGAGCTGTAAGATACTTCATTTCCCTGATTTCAGAGATCACCCTTAAGAAATGATTTAGCGTGGGGAAATCAACTGATTTCCAGAGTCATGGTATCACCCAACTAGCAACCGTCAGAATATGTATTCCCAACCTCTTAGACCACTTAGAGATACCCCTAAAGGGTAGCCCCAAAAGATAGTGTAGCGGGTCTAGGGGTAGGACAACATTGAGTATTTGCTCCAAGACCATTTTAACCTTCGCCCAATAACCCGCAATCTGTGGACAAAACAAAAAGATGTGTGCCAAGGTGCCCACTCCTACCATGCACCTCCTTCACCTTTCAGAGAGATATGGGTTAATCACATGGAGCATTAAGGGGTCTTGTACCAATGCATCAATATTTTATATAAGTTTTCTTTATACACAACACAACACAACAAGAGGTCTTAGTAGCAGAATCCCAAATCTTCTGCCAACATTTCAAAGAGATTGGGCATTGGAGTTCATCAGTTTGAAGTCACTTTCTTCCAGTTTGGACTACCTCATTGTCTCAATAACATAGGAGGGGTAGTGTTCTGTAGTCCAAAAAAGTAAACCAGGCAGGGATGATAACACTGTTTAGGAGTTTAGCAGAGAACTTATTTCTGACAGAATCAACAGGTATTGTTTTCCCCTAACAAACCAACATATAAAAATGTTTTCAATGGTAGATTAAAATTATAAGAGAAGTTCATTGTAAGGGTTTACATACACTTTAAGCAAAAGCAATGCATAAAAACGTTTAGTTTACTACTGCTCTTTTGACTCTCCAACCTGTTGTAGCCTCTAACAATGACTACTTCTAACTATTGGAAGATTTTCATTCTATTTTCTTTGTCCATGACTAGCCTTGCTATAAATGTAGAACTTTAGGAACAATTAGGCTTTCTACCCTTACTTCATGATTCCTAAACATTAGAACAATAATATTTTATTGATTACAATTTTTTTTAGGTTGCTTCAGATAAGGAACTTGCTTATGTGCAGGAAAAACATCAAGTTTCAAACAGTAGTGGAGTCTGTTTAATTTTTTGGACCTGATTACCATTATAAACATAGCCAGTAATAAATCCTAGTATTACTGATTGCTTAGTAATGGAAAGATGCAAGCTAGGAAGTAGCAGGTACTCTGAATAACAGCAAATGATAATGCAATATTGTAATTATGTGTGCAATTGTATGTGATTGCCACATGCCTTACACGTATTAGACAGATTATTATTTATCATCACTTATGCTGGCCATAGATGGGGAGAAAAACTGCAGATTTTTCTTTTAAAAAACGAAAAATCGGTTGTTCAAGTGGCCGACGTTACCATCAATGGTAAAAAAAATCGGCCGATTTTCTACCCGTCTAGAGCCGGCAAAAAGTGTCCCTGCAGAGAGCTCTGCTATTTCTTTGACAGTTCTCTGACAGTTCCTTGACATTTATAGAAGTTGCAACAATGTATCTATTTGTTTCCATTTAGGATACAGATGTTTTTATTCGGAAACAAATAGATACAATGTTTCAACCGCTGTAAATGTCAAGGAACTGTCAGAGAACTGTCAGAAATAGCGGAGCTCTCTGCAGAGACACTTTTTGCTGGACTGGAATTCTTCTTATTTTTCATTCCTACTTCTTCTTCTTCTTCTTCTTCTTCTTCCTCATCCTCATCCTCTTCTTCTTCTTCTTCTTCTTCTTCATCATCATCCTCTTCTTCTTCATCCTCATCCTGTTCTTCATCCTCTTCTTCTTCTTCTTCTTCTTCTTCTTCTTCTTCATCCTCATCCTCTTCTTCATCCTCATCCTCTTCTTCATCCTCATCCTCTTCTTCATCCTCATCCTCTTCTTCTTCATCATCCTCATCCTCTTCTTCTTCTGCATCCTCATCCTATTCTTCTTCTTCTTCATCATCATCCTCATCCTCTTCTTCTTCATCATCATCCTCATCCTCTTCTTCTTCTTCTTCTTCATCCTCATCCTCCTCTCTTCTTCTTCTTCTTCTTCTTCATCCTCATCCTCTTCTTCATCCTCATCCTCTTCTTCTTCATCATCATCATCCTCATCCTCTTCTTCTTCTTCTTCTTAATCCCTCATCCTCTTCTTCATCTTCATCCTCATCCTCTTCTTCTTCCTCATCCTCTTCTTCTTCCTCATCCTCTTCTTCATCATCATCCTCATCCTCTTCTTCTTCTTCATCCTCATCCTCTTCTTCTTCTTCTTCTTCTTCTTCTTCGTCCTCATCCTCTTCTTCTTCTTCATCCTCATCCTCTTCTTCTTCATCCTCTTCTTCTTCCTCTTCTTCTTCTTCATCCTCTTCTTCACCGTCTTCCTCTTCTTCTTTTTCTTCTTTTTGTCTTCCTCTTGCAGGTCACTGCTCATGCGCAGATTTTTTTATCGGTAAAAAATCGGCCGATTTGCCCACTAATTGCCGCGAAAATCGGCCGATCGGCAAAATCGGCCGATTTTTTTCCAACTTTACTGAAAAAAAAAACGGCCAAAATACCGAAAAAACGGCCGGCCAAATCGCCCACTAACGATCCGAAAATCGGCCGATTTTATTTTCGGCCGAAAAATCGGCCGATTTTCGACCCATCTATGGCCTGCATTAGTGATAGATGACACTTCTATGGTTTGGCGGTGAAAATGAGCAAATAAAAAATTCCTATGCGCGTAGGTTAAAATAAATCATAGTGTTGCACATACACTATCTTGCTAAAAGGACTAGAACACCCCTCCAAATCATTTGAATCAGGTGTTACAATCACCTTCATGGCCACAGGTGTATAAAATCAAGCACCTAAACATGCAGACTGCTTCTACAAACATTTGTGAAAGAATGGGTCACTCTCAGGAGCTCAGTGAATTCAAGTGTGGTAATGTGATAGGTTGCCACCTGTGCAATAAGTCCATCCGTGAAATTTCCTTGCTACTAAATAGTCCACAGTCAACTATTAGTGGTAAAAAAAAGAAACTCAGCCACAAAGTGGTAGGCCACATAAAATTACAGAGCGGGGTCAGCGCATACTGAAGCGCACAGTGCACAGAAGTCACCAACTGTCTGCAGAGTCAATAGCTAAAGACCTCCAAACTTTGTGTGGACTTCAGATTAGCACAATAGTGCATAGAGAGCTTCATGGAATGGGTTTCCATGGCTGAGCAGCTGCATCCAAGCCTTACATCACCAAGTACAATGCAAAGCGTCTGATGCAGTGGTGTAAAGCAAGCCGCCACTTGAAAAGTGGAGATGTGTTCTCTGGAGTGACGAGTAAGGCTTTTCTGTCTGGCAATCTAATAGATGTGTCTGGTTTGGCGATCGCCAGCAGAATGGTACTTGACTGACTGCATTGTGCCAAGTGTAAAATTGGTGGAGGTGGGATTACGGTGTGGTGTTGTCTGTCAGGGGTTGGGCTTGGCCCCTTAGTTCAAGTGAAGGTAACTCTTAAGGCATCAGCATACCAAGACATCTTGGACAATTTCATGCTCCCAACTTTGTGGAAACAGTTTGGGGATGGCCCCTTCCTACTCCAACATGACTGCACACCAGTGCACAAAGCAAGGTCCATAAATACATGGATGAGCGAGTTTGGGGTGGAGTAACTTGACTGGCCTGCACATAGTCCTGACTTCAACCCGATATAACACCTTTGGAGTGAATTAAAGTGCAGACTGCAAGCCAGGCCTTCTCGTCCGACATCAGTGCCGGACCTCACAAATGCGCTTCTGGAAGAATGGTCAAACATCCCCATAGACAAGCTCCTAAACCTTGTGGACAGCCTTTCCAGAAGAGTTGAAGCTTTAATAGCTGCAAAGGGTGGGCCAATATTGAACCCTACAGAATAAGACAAGAATGCCGTTAAAGTTCATATGCGTGTTAAGGCAAGTGTCCCAATACTTTTGGCAATATAGTGTACATGTATGTCCATAGCAAATGAATAAATAAATAAATAAATATGTAATTTGCCTTCTCAGCTATGTGCTCAGCTATGTGGAAAGATTAGAGGAACTGAATTTCTTCTCTCTTGAGAACAGGAGATTAGGGGGTAATTGATCAACATTTGTAAATACAAAGGTGGTCTATATAGTGAATGTGGTGTAGAGTTATTCACTTTAGGGTTATCACAGAGGACAAGGGGTCACTTGTTACATCTGGAGGAAAAGAAACTTAATCTACAAATAAATAAAGGTTTCTCCACAATAAGAGAAGTGAAAACATGGAATGGACTCCCTCAAGAGCTGGTTCTGGTCAGCACAGTAGTTTTTAAAAAAGATCTAGATTCTTTCCTAAATGCACATAATATAATTGAATAATAACATTTATAGGTAAAGTTGATTCAGGGAATATCTGATTGCCTCTTGGGGAATCAGAAAATGATTTTTTTTCCCCTGCTGCAGCAAATTGGATCATGCTTTACTGGGGGTTTTTTTTTTTGCCTTCCTCTGGATCAACTGTGGGTATAGGATTGTATATATAGGATTGCATATTTTTTTTTTTTTTTCCTTTTTATTAGTTGAACTAGATGGACTAGTCTTTTTTTCAATTCAGACTAACTATGTAACACTGCAACAAAAATATGCAGGTACCCCTAAATGTTAGGCTTTACAAAATAATTTAAAGCTGTACAAATCAAAACCTAGAGTAAAGAATACAATTATGCACAAATTAACAATTACAATTAGGTTTTCACTTTATCATTGCCAATCAAGATAAATAATTCCTAAAAAATAAGCCTATGTTTAGTATGTATTATCTCAGCAAAATTAAGTAAGGTAAATTATTGAAATGTCTCAATCTAACATACATATTAAAATATGCTTTTAAAATATTTCCTCAAAATCTATTTAGTCACATTATATATTTCTATAAACAGCTTTTAGAAGATGAAAAGAACTAACATAAAAATGTTTTGAAATTATTTTGACTTGATATTTATTCTAATTGTCGCCATAGAGCTCAAAAACATCATCTGTCTCATTAGGAAACACAAGATGCCACTAACATTGAGGATGTGTTGTAAAATATTTAAAAGTAGTGTTATAGAAAAAAGACATCAACATTTCTCTACAATTGTGACACAGACATGAATAATTAAAATCAGGCATCAGGAAAATATTTATAGATTTGATGTTTTTATTTGTAAAAATTGCATATAATGATTTTGCCATACTTAAAGTTCAACTTTTCTATAAAAAAAAAATAAGTGCACATGTTTTTGCAGGTACAAGAATTTCACCTATGATCAGTGGATTGTGGGTGCAATGTCAGGTGCTTGCAGATACTTCCTGCAGCTCTCTGCTCATACCTCAGTACAGGCTCTCAGGTTCAGAACTGCAGGAAGTGTCAATGGACTACAAGGGCACTGATCAGCGCCCTTTTAGTTCAATGAGAGCTACAAACTGTCTGCCAAGGTGAAAGATGGGACTTGTAAATTATTCATTCACACATTGCTATGAATGAACAACCCCCACTGACCTCTACCTGTCTTTGGAATATCCTGTTGCCTGCCACTTACTGTCACCTCTTTCTGTTTCTAGTTATGCTATTGTTTGCTACTTCCCTTACCTGTGCCTGTCCCTGGATTATGATACTGTATGGTATTTTCCCAGACTGATGTCTGTCTCTGGATTTTGATACTGGTTACACATCTGCAGAAACATTTGTCTATGCCTGCCACTCCCAAAGTCCATAGTTTCTCTTTTTTTTATATCCTTGCTCAGCCTGTTGTGCCCCTTGACTATAACATTTTGTAATATGTCCGTGGGGCAGCCATGTATCTCCTGGCTTGAGTGCCTTAAGGAGATGGAGGTTGTTATAGGTAAAGCTCCTTTAGCTGTCTACAGTATCTGACCTCTGATACTGAAGTGAGCACTGCACTGCAGTAAGTGAGGATCACCATCCTGAAAGTACTGTTGACAGAATAACAACATATATTACAGTTAAATAGGAACTATGATATGTTACACACTTATGTAAATGTAGATTGGCTATGGGTTTTTTACCTCCACAGTGGAAAATGGTTTAGATTATTCTACAAGTTGTTTAGGGGTTACTGAAAGGAGTTGTATATTAGATAAAAAAGACAGTATGTCTTCATGTTTTGGGCAAATAATTATTACCGGGGAAAGTTAAATTATAAAGTTTAGATTAAAATGAGGCAAATTGGTTAGCTATATCTAGGGGATTAATAGGGCGTTTGCCCTGAGGATCTTTAGGGTTAGGTAGTTATTGTTTGCTCATGTCATTTAAATTGTTTGGCCAATAAGGCTCCAGATTTATTATTTTTAGAATACCATTTAACCGTAGCCTTTTAAGATAGAGATCAAAATTTTTAATAAGGTGTTCACTGAGTTTGCAACGAGTGCCATGCATTTCAGCTTGTACACAGGCATCAAGCTGAGATTTGTGCAGATGCTCAAATGGGTGAATTTGGTTTAGAAGTTGTTTAATGAAAGTAATATATAATTTATTTCTTGTGAGCCCCAAGTTTGATAAAAAAAAGTTCTCTAAGGAAAGCTTTGTGAGCATTCCAAAGCACAACATGGTCATGGACAGTTTCAGCATTCAAAGAGAAATAACTTTCTATCTCAGATTTTATCTGTGTTTGATAGCGGGGGTGGTTGAGTAAGGAGGCATTAAGTCTCCAGATTATATGACTCAGCTTGTGTGTATTGGGGAAAATTATGAAAGCTATAAGTGAAAAATAATCCAGATTTTTAGAATAAATTGTTTTTTATTTACAGCTTTGCACACCTTCAGTTTTCACCATTTAAAAAAATTGGTGCAATTTAAAATGTGTAAATATTTGTTATTTATTAACTCAATACAGTTTTACCTGTTATATTTAGTAGGAAGTTAGCATGAATTTTGTAAATTTTCCCATGTATGTATCCACTAATAATAATTTCAATGTATTTTTTGCAAAAAATAATGAATTGCTAAACATTTACACATTTAAAAAATCATTACCACCTTTTTTTAATTTTACTGGACATGTGCTTTCTACAAACTCTGAAAGCTGTAAGGTAAAATATGGAAAAATCGCAAAAATGGTCTGGTCACTTGATATAAAAGTAGAGTATAGGGCTTGGCAGTGAAAAGATTAAAATCCCAATTTAAAAGGAACCTTCTCTGGAAATTTGCTCTCTCCCAAAAAGCAGATGTACTGCGTGTCCAACAAATGCATTTTTAAAGAGCTAATCCTTCATTCTGTACAAATGCACTTTTCCAGCATGGTTTCTATGCTAATGCACCTAAAAATGTACATAGCTTTTACTTTCTGACTGCTTATTACATTTCTTGAGGTGCGAAAATACCAGGACAGTGCAAACACCCCCAAATTACCCCTTTTCAGAAAGTTGATACCCTAAGCTATCTGCTGAGAGGCATATTGAGTCCATGGAAGATTTATTTTTTTCCATACGTTTTTGGAAAATGACAAAAAAATTTTTTACACAAAGTTGTTATTTAAATTATATATTGCTCACACAAACCATGGTTATATGTGGAATTACACCCCAAAATATATTCTGCTACTTC